TGAAAGTCAAGAATCAGTGGTGACTTTTTAGTGTCACTGTTAATTGTCAACATTTTTATAATTTTTTTAAAAAAATTATGTTGTAAGTTTCAGCTGCAACATATAAGTCGTCGCTGAAAGTTGAGAATCAACAGTAACTTTTTAGTGTCACCGCTAATTGTCAACATTTTTATAATTTTTTTTAAAAAATTATGTTGTAAGTTTCAGCGGTGACATACAAGGCGCCGCTGAAAGTCGAGAATCAGCGGTGACTTTTTAGTGTCGCCGTTGATTATCAATATTTTTATAATTTTTTTAAAAAATTATGTTGTAAGTTTCAGCGGCGACATACAAGTGGCTGCTGAAAGTCAAGAATCAACGGCAACTTTTTAGTATCACCGCTGATTGTCAACATTTTCATAATTTTTTTTTGTAGTGATATTTCTTACACTTTCAAAATTAAATTTTATGGCAAGTTCAATTTTTTTGTTTTCAAAATTAGATTAAAGCATTTTTCATAAAAAAAGATATTTTTGTTTTACCAATTTCATGATGTTCTTTTTATTTAAATTTCAATTTATTTTTATTTCTATTTATTTAACCAAGTTGTATATATGTATGTATAGATATACATACATATATTGTAATAATACAAGTAGAGAGAGGTTTATATTAAGAGATAGAGAAAGAACCATTTAACTCAATGCTTACAAAATAAAAATCTTCTTATTTCATAAAAGTTTAGAAAAATCATGGTTAAATTAGCTCTTTTGATTTGCTTCACCTAATTACCTTTTTTTTTATGCTTAAATTATTTTTTTGACAAGATTCAACTCTTGTTTTTCTTTTACTTTTTCTTTTTCTTCTTTTTTCATATTTGTTTTTCACCTGTAATTTCTTGTGTCTTTTTCTATTTCAAAAAGAATTTGGATATTCTGCACAAATATCTCTTTCAAATTTTTCTCTTATTTAATTTAATTTATTTTCATTTTTGGGATTTCTATTTGTTCTTCAATTCTTTTATGATGTATTTCTTTATTTCTATATCTTTTATTTCTCCTTCAAGTTTACTATTCCTATTTGGCTGTAAATTTAGACTCTTAAGATTTATCTTATTCTTCTTTTTTAATTTAGATCCTAATATCTTATTAAATCATCTCATATTTCTATTTCTACAAGTTTTATTTCTTGTTGATATTATTCTTCCTAGACTTAATAGAAACACCACTGCCTAACTTTCCTATTCTTTCACAGGATTTTTGAATATTATATTTCTTAAATATTCTCTATTTATTACTAAACTTACTTGGCAATATCATTTTTTTATAAGTTATATGTGATATTATGTTCATGTATCTTTGTTGATTTATTTCAAAAGGGGTGTTATCTATTTCAATTTAAATTCTACATTTAACACCAATAACTTTAAACTTGATGTTAGTTTAAAAACATAAATAATTATAAATTATAAACTAATGTATAATCATCAGTATTTTTACTATTTATTCTTAGATATTTTTTATATTATAATTATAAATATGAATATTAAAATAAATAATATACCAACAACAAGAAGTAAAAAAAATTAAAATAAATAATACAAATGATATTGTATCAATTATATTTATAGTTTACTTTAAACAAAATAAATAATATAATTTGTAATTTTATAAATTAAAAGAATTAAATTGAAGTATTTAAGGATAGTAATGATACTTTATAATATTTAATATTTAATGTGTGTGTGTGTAGTTTAATAATATGTGTGTGTGTGTGTGTGTGTGTGTGTGTGTGTGTGTATTTAATTATGCAATAATAGATTATAGGTTCATTTTAACTCGGTGGCAAAATAGTTGGACACAAAAAGAGGAGGTCATGGATTAAAACCTTAGAGGAGAGAACTTTCAAAATGAAAATGGGTTCAAACCTTAGAGGAGATAACTTTTAAAATGAAAATATAAATTGGTGACATGATGACACGTGGCTTATAGTAAGAGCGATACATGGAGAGTGACATGGTGGCACGTGGCGTGAGGTGAGGGCGACACGTGGAGGATGACATGGCGCCACATGGTGCAAGGTGGGGCCTTACGTGGAGGGTGACATGGCACCACATGGTGTGAGTTGGGGCACCACGTGGACAGTGACATGGTGTCATGTGTGTAAGTGAACCAACGTTACTTTTCAACGACGACAAAAAAGTCACCGCTAATTAGTAGCTTCTATAGCGACAAATGTCACCACTGATACTTAACATTCAGTGGCGACAAAAATAGTCATCGTTGATGTGTGATTTTTACGGCGACAAAATGTCACCGTCGATTTTTAACTTTCAATGGTGATTATTGTTTAGTTGCAACAAATTTTTTTTCTGTAGCGACATTTGTCATTGCTGATTCTTAACTTTCAGCGACGACTTTTATTGTCGCTGCAAATTGAATCAGTAATAGGAGCTCTCGCGGCGACATTGTGGTGACTTTTTGTCACTGCTGAAAACTTTCAGGAGCGACTTTTTGACTTTTGGCAGCGACAAATGTCACCGCAAATTCTCAACTTTCAGTGACAACCTTTATTGTCACCGCAAATTGAATCAGCGACAAAAACTCTTGCAGCGACATTGTGGTGACTTTTTGTCGTTGCTAAAAGTCAATTTTTTTGTAGTGGAATTACAAGAAGATAAAATTTATATAATATCAACAAATTAAATTTAATGAAAATTTTGTATAATTTATTTTTTATCTCAAAGTACATTGTTATAGGATTTAATTTATAATAATAATAGATATGTTTCAATAATTTTAACATAATTCAAACTAAATATTTAACAAAAAATTATAGGCTGGCATCATATAAGACACATATGATTCATTGATATCAGGCGGCATTTGGACTTGGATAAATAGCATGTCACCAACGTGTTCTCAGCTTATTATTATTATTATTATTATTATTATTTGATACAACGTGTTTCTCAGGTTTACTTCTACTCTTTTCAGTACGTACACCCCCCAACCCCCCAAGAAAAGAAAGAGTGCCAGACTAGTGTACTATGTCTGCAAGTAAAATTCCAGCATTTTCCAACAGAATCCAAAATTTATTAAAATAGCAAAGCATTAACGCTAATATATATTCATGAAAATGACATTTAACAACCCATATAAATTATTAACAACATTATAAGGATTTATTAAAAAATAAGCTTTTATTCAAAACAGTTAAAATATACTCATGATTACAAAATCATTAGAGCCACTTTACTAAAATTATCCCTTATTCTTCCTAAGATAAAAAGGTTTTATTTTGGCCACAATCTAAAAGTTTTTTAAATTCAAGTCCGTACATTCATTTTTATAAATTCCGTGATATTTAGCAACCCTTATAAATTATTATAACAGTTAACTATTTAAAAATATAAGTTTTTTTAAAAACAGTTAAAATTAAATGTAATCATGCTTCCAAAATTATTATAGCTGCTTCGCTAAAATTATCTCCCTCATTTATCCTAAAACAAAAGTCTAAAAAAGATTTCGTTTTGGCCACAATCCAAAAGCTTTTAAAAATTAAGTTCGGTAAATTCATACATCACTTTCAAGAGTGATATAAGAATATGCAATTATATATAGAGTTTACATTATTATACTTATAATCTATTTCCTTGCTACCTATTTTTAAATATATTTCATACATTCACTTTCTTCAATATAGAAGTTTCTGATTTAACAATTTTTTAGTCACAAGAATACCCAGTTATATATTATTTTAAGTAGAACTATAATATTAGTAATTTATAAAGTTTTAGCGCGGTGACCTAAAAGCTTTCCAATAACCATTTTAATTTTTTTTTTCATTGTTTTTAATGGATCATAAGTAAGGGCCTTTAAATATGATTTTTATCAACCTTTTAATTGGTGTCGTCATCTTCAATATATTGGAAGAAGGGAAAATTAATTTGTAGGTCTTTATAGTTTTCATTAATTTTGAATTATGTTTTCTTATAATTTAATCAATATATTTTGTTTTAATCAAGTTCTTATAATTTAATTGATTACATATATTAGTCGCTAAAAGTTAAAATTATTAATGAATGATTAAATTTTTTTAAAAATAATTTTAAAATTTATAGAAAAATTTATTTAATACTTTAAGAAAAAAGAAAAAAATTGATTTAATAGAATGTTTGCATTTTTATTAATCGTAAATGAGAAAATTAACCCTTTAACTTTAAATCCAATAATACCATACATCTTGAATTCATTTATTGTATAACTTATTTCTTTAATTTTTAAAAATAATGTAATCTAATTTTTACTGTTAATAAAAGTTAACTTTAACTGTTAGTTAAATAAAAAAATAACAAAGAAAAATCTCAAACATTATATAAAATAACCAAAAAATTTCTAGGTCCTTGTCAGTAATTTTTGGATCCTTTATTATAATTTTTAAAGTTTTTTCTATCATTTTATTATTAATTAATTGTTAAAGTTAATTTTTGTTAATGCCAAATGCTAGATTACACATTTTTAAAAAGTTAATGGAATAATTTGCATAATAAATAAGTTTAGAATCTAACATACTTCTGCACCTAAAATTCAAAGGATAATTTATGTATTTACTCTTTTATCAATTGTTTATGAAAATTCTATAAATGTTATTAAGAAAACATATCTTAATTATATACATTTTCAATAATAAAATTGGTAATTAATTAATTCTAAAATTGTATAATTTTTAATAAAAGTATAAAAGTGCATAATTTGATTTTATAAAAAAAATTAAGGATTTTAAATTAATACAAAATAAATTATAAGATCTAATTCAAAATTAAAAAACTAGAATAATTTGCAAATTAAATTTTACTTGAAAAAAAAAAAACAAAGGAGAAGCAAAGTTTCTTTAAAAAAAAAAAAAACGAAAGAAGAAAGCAAGCAATCAAAGTTTCACGCGGTTTTGTATTTGATAATTGTGGGATCCAAAGGAACAACTCCACCAAACTCCGCGTTCCTTCCTTTATATTCCTTTTCCTCATTTATTATTACTTTAACTTCCATTAATTGTCCTTCACTCCTGTCTCGTAAATCTATCTTCTTCGTCTTCTTCTTCTTGTCTGCATCCTTTGACCTATCCCAAAACATGTTTTTGCTCACTATACTCTTCCTAGCACTCTTGTTCCTCGGCGGCCTCCTGGCTACGGTGTTTCACGCATCTCTTGTTCAATATTTCTTCTCCAAAAAACCCATTAAAGCCAGTCCATCTTCTTCTCCTCCTTCGCCTGAAACTCCGAAGAAGAAGAAGAAGAAGACGAGTAATAATGGTGATCAGAGGTCCAAGAAGAAGGAGGAACTCCGGCGGGTATTCGCGACTTTCGACAAGAACGGAGACGGGTTCATAACGAGGCAGGAGCTGAAAGAGTCGCTGAGGAACATCAGGATCGTGATGTCAGACAAAGAAATCAACGAGATAGTGGTGAAGTTTGATTCTAATGGAGATGGGCTGATTGATTTCGACGAGTTCTGTTTGCTGACTGATGAGTGTATGGGCCGAGAATATCAGAGAGGAAGCGAAGAAGATGAGGATGAGGATGAAGGAGAATTAAGAGAAGAAGAGGAAGAGAATCTGAAGGAGGCTTTTGGGGTTTTCGATAAAGATAAAGATGGGCGTATATCAGTGGAAGAGCTGGCTCTGGTTCTGACTTCACTAGGGTTGAGGGAAGGGAAGAAGATGGAAGATTGCAAAGAGATGATTCGTAAGGTCGACATGGATGGAGATGGTATGGTTGATTTTCACGAGTTCAAGACAATGATGAAATCACGAAAGCTTGTCTTGGCTTCTTAATTAATTAATTAATTAATTAATTACAATTCTCTCTCTATCTCTTCTTCTTCTTCTGCAGATCTGGTATCGCTACAGAAATTTGTGTAAATTTCACAATTATATATGATGTCGTCTGTAGTACATAAGGTTTTGAACTCCTGACTTCAGGTTATATCTTGTCGTCCTTCAACTCATCTCTTCGCCTGCTTGTAATTGGCTGTGTTCTTATGTTTCTTTTTTCGTTTCTTTTCTTTTCTTTTGCTTTTGTTGTTTGGTTGGGTTAGATAAAGTCTTGTATGAAGCATTTATATATGTTTTTATTAAGAAATTAAATTCAGGTTGATAATCAAGAGTAGAAATTTTTAAAGAAAGAAGGTCAATAAGAGTTTAAGACGATGCAAGAGTTGCATAATTATAAAATAATTATTAAATCTTTTGTGTGTATTTTTTGTTGTAATGATTGCAAGTTTTACCCCAGGTGTACTATTTATATTGCTTTTCAAGCCTTATTTACAGGGTAAAGAAGGCATTTATTTTGATCTTATTTACATGGCACATCAATGATTGTTATGATCTTAAACTTTGGAAAAGTTATTAAATGTTATAGTATTTTAAGATTAAAGAGAAAATGATAATATAATCCTTTTGAATTATGTAAAAGACATTTTAATTTTTAAAAATATTATAATTTTTCAGAAGTCTCTAGGGACATTTCTATCATTATAGAACTAATATAAATGACTAAATTACCCTTAGTTTAAGATTTTAAATGCGAATTTGTGAATTGCTATTGCATTCTTGTGATTTTAAGAAGAAAAGTTATAAATCTTAAAATAAAACTTGTAAATAACAATTGATATTTGTAACACTTGAGAAATATTAGGATTTTAAATATAAACTTGCAAACTGCTATTGAATTTTTGCAATTGTAAGAAGAAAAGTTGTGAATTTTGAAACAAAACTTGTTAATGACAATTGAAATTTGAACTGAGGGTAATTTAGTCATTTGTATTAATTTCTTAATAATAAAAAAGTCTTTAAGGACTTCATTGGTATGATGGCATTTCGAGAGATTAAATTATCATTTATATAATTTAAAAAAAATTTTATTATCATTTTCCTAACCTTAAAGTATGCATATGTAATGTGAGTAAAATTGAAAATTTGTAATGAATTTATAGATTAAGTTAATGATGTTTAAAATTTTTTTTGATTCCAATAAAAATATTAGAAATGACTTAAAAAAGATTAAATGAAGTATGAATGTTTAGAGGTGAAGTTCCTTAGTTTTGTTGTAAGATTTTTAATTGAATTTAATTTGATATGAGATTTTTGCTTCAATTCTTTTAGTCAACCCAATAGAAATGATCTAATTTTGCTTACTGAATTTGCCTTTTTTTTTTTTTGGGGGTGGGGGCCAATGTCTTACCAAACCAATTAACTGCCAAGGATTTTGTTTAGGTTTGTATGAATTGTGGAATATATCTAAAAAGCCGTTTGGTCAAATAATTTAAAAAACAATTATTGATAAGGATGCTACGCGTTTTCATTAGAGGGTGATAGATAGGTTCCAAAAATTCAATCCAAGTTTTAACTGTTAAATTTTAAAAATTTATAAGTTTGTTATCAATTTTATAATTTTATTATGATGAATTTATAATTTATTTATTAGATTTTAACATGATTAAAAAATAAATAAATTTATTTTTCTTGTTAAAATTTAAAATATAAATTGTAAATTTATCACAATAAAATTACATAATTGAGAACCAAACTCATAAAATTCTGAAAAAATTGGGAAAATAAACTAATAGATTTATTTATTGTACATGGCACAATAATAATGCTCCTTTGTCGAGTATTTTATATTAATTATCCACGCATCATCCTTAAGCTTCAGCTAAAGCTCGTCCAGCAAGTACTAAATAGAAAGAAGTCAAACAAATATTTGAACTCTTTTCTCCCCTTTTATCTTTAAGAAATTGGGAAAATAAATTAATTAACAGATTTATTTTGCATAAAATATATTTATCAAAATTGTAAAAATTCATATTATTTATAATTAAATCATGTATAATATGACTCATCCCAAATATATGAACTTTCTTTATTCCACATCTTTACTGATTACATGAATTTTATATTAGTATTAACTTGCTTCCACTGTCAGCTCAAGAGAAAGGATGAATTAATGTAGGATAATAAAAATATGAGTTAAGGTGCATTTTTATATTTGAATTTTTTTTTAGGAGCCTTAGACACTTGTACTAATAAGTGAAGTTTGCACTATTTTTTTGAGGAGCAAAATGTAACGTCTCCAAATTTTAAATTTGGAATTTAAGAAAACTAATAAGGATAAATTAGTAAAATAACAATAAATTAACTCTATCGAGTTTTCAGATCATTGATGAACATTTTGGAACCTAGGATGGCATTAAGGGAAGGCTAGGATAGGTATCGGGCCAACCGAGCTTTAGAGTGAGGCCTAAGTTCGAATTTGGCACTACTATGCCATCCGATGAGATGGATGTGCAAAAAATTGAACAAATCATATGCTTGGAGTGTCTACAGATAGAAGAAGGGAAAATAAGAATGCGAGGGACAATAAAGAGAGGACTTAGGCTGCTAGGGTTTCATCTTTTAGGCAGCTTTGGAAGCATTTAAGCTGGTATAACACTCAAGTAAGCTTCTTGACCCCTCCTCCTTCCCTCCTATGTAATTGTTTTGAAGTTTGAAAGTTGGGGATCTCATATTTTGTCCTTTAAAGGATTTTGACTGAACCCATTGAGTTCTTTGGGACTATAGGGAGTTAATTTAAACTTCTATGCTTAGGTTTAGTAATGATGATTTAGAGTTTTGAGTTAGGGTTTAGATGAATCCTATAAGCTTAAAATAGGAGTTTGGAAGTAATATGAGTCGTAATTTGGTGTTATCTAAGTTTAGAGATGTTAAATGATGCTAGTAGGAAGTTGTTAGGGCTTTGGTTAAGCTAACGATAAAAAAAAAATTAGAGTGTGAGTAACAAATCTTAGCTTAAAAGCGTGTTTAGTAGTGTTTAAAATTAATGAGCATTTAATCTTGTAGATTAATTATTGTTTGGTCTCCTTTGAGCCAGTGGATATCAAAAGAGTAGTTTTTTTTGCCACGGATAACCCTTTTCATAACAAAATCATTGAGGTAATGGGATGATCTAATCCTTGTACTTGCTTGTTTAGATAGTTATGAGTTTTGCAAAATGTTATTCTATTATTTTGCTATGTAATGTATTAATATAAATGTATGTTCATGATTTTGGAAACCTATGTGAAGTGGGAATTATTTGAAAGGATGTCTTCATGCAAAAGCTAGTATGTAGTTTGAGCAAGACATGATTTAATGTCAACATGCTTATGTGGACTTTGCACATGCCTTGTTGTAACACATGTACAAGCATGATTATTGTAAGAAGGTGTGTCACCTCCTCTCATATATCCACTTAATATAAGATTACGGTGTTATCATTACCTCACATCAATCATGATAACTAATTTTCATTTCAAAAGCTTCGGTTGAAGACTTATTTTATAAAATCGATCAGTTCACAACACAATTAGAGAAAAACACAGTGGAAGTAAATCGTACACCTCAATTATATAGTGGATATCACCCACTAGCATTCCTATTCCAATTGTATGCATTTTATCACAAAATAAAAGTAAATTTTAGTCTATACTCCGCGGCAGACGGTTAGTGCGCTGTGGCATGTGGCATAAAGCCACATGCTTACCTTGTTTGTGTTGTGCGCCGCGGCATGTATCACCATGCGCCCCGACGCTCCTGTATGAATTTTTGCTGTCATTTTGACAACAACAATGATGAAATTCTGGTGTGCACCATTTTCACATATGACATTCGATTGGAGTGATTCAAGCGCCCACACAAATTTTAGCTCATATACTAATTAATGAGATAGGTTTGGACACAATCTAACAGTCCGATCAAAATTTGGACACCCGGGTGCAAAAAGTCACTTTTTTTGAAAATTTTGCTCACCTAAGCACTCAAATCAATCCCTTACTGTCATTAGACCACTCTAGGCCTTAAAACAAGTCCAAAAGGATCTATACACCTGATTAACCATAATTATTCACAATCATACTCATATATCAAAATTTGACCCATCTACGGTCAATTTTTACAATTCACAAACTTAACATACTTTGCCATTTCTTGGCATAACTTAGCCCACTTGGCTATTTCTCAACTCATACATATACAATCATATTCACAATACAATCTTAACCCTAAATTACTCATTTAATTATAATTTATCCCTTAGCTTAAGATTCACCAACATAAACAACCATTTCGATGCAACTATACTCAAATCATAGCCCCTTTATCTTAAACAACACATATACACATAATTAGGCTTGATTTCACAAAATTTTAGTTCAATACATGCAACCCTATGGCAACTCATATTTACTTATATATATACAGTCTCAATTTAGTTCATTACACAACCTCAGAGTACACGACTTCTTAACTTAAGCCGATCCAGACTCTCTTCCCTTAGCCTGATCACTTCTCGGTCCTATAAACATGTAACCACGAGGGTGAGATAAAAATCTCAGTAACAGAATAACTCACTCCCATTAACTATCATATGTAACAATATGGAAGTAAATATAGTATACCATCAAAACCTCATAAAATAGCATTTACATCATATCTCACATCCTTTCTCAACTTTTCCTCAATCATAAGGAATGTCATGTTATCTCAAGATATTTCATCATATCCAATCACAAACTAGCATGATCTCTACCAACCGAACCTTCGAATCACCTCAACACAAAACTATAGGCTCATCTTAGACTAATGTACACTCTCATTAGTCTTCAGCTCACTTGTAGTAGTAGAATCACCCGACTAAAGATGTTTTAACGTATAGTATAGATTATGGTTTTCCCCTAATATACATAATGGGGCGTCGTTGACTCCAACACCGCATTGCAAAGATACTAAGAAGTCTCTCATTGCTAATACCATATTTCAATAGGCACTAAGGAGATCTTCTCTAACACCGCACCTCTCAAGGCACTAAGGAGAATTATTTTCAACACCGTACCCTAACAGAGTACTAAGGAAACCTTACCCTATGATCTTTATCATCTCTTATACTCGAGTGAACTCTTACCCCTATGATCATGCTTTCTCGAACCATTTAAGGTTCCCATTTACCATATCACACTTTCTTGCACATTATATACAAATAATATTTTTAATTTTAAAACACACATTTCAATGCTCATTTAAACTAAAAGTCTTTTCACATATAATAATCACTCAATGCTATAAAACATGC